ATTAAATTCATGCTTTTCTTCAGAGATGGCTGAAAAAGGTAAGCATATAAAACATGGGAAAATTGATCTCATACATCTTTTATTTGTAGCATTAGGGTTTTTTTTTTAAAAAAAAAGCACATGGGAAAAGTCGTATTAAGGGCCTAGAAATTCCTGGGGGTTGGGGAATCAGTGGGTTCAGTTCCATTGCGTCACAAAGTGGTACTGTACAGTCAAATCCTGAATGGGTTCACTTGTAGATCAAGGGGCTCCCCCAGCAAAAATAAGCTCCAAAGCAGCCTGTATATCGCCTCCCGTCGCCTGCAGTGCCCTCAGGATCAGCTCCTCGTCTTGGATCCCCATGTCCCGTAGCTGCTGTAGCTGAGACTGCCATTGGCTCTGTGAAGATAAGCCACAATCTAACACTGCTGAAGGGAAAGGAAAAAAATGCATCCCATTCTTTTTAGTAGGTAAGCTAGTTACTGGCAAAACTCCTTACTGATACATTAAATAATAATAATAATGAATAATGGTTTCCATTGAAAGCACTGCTCCTTTCCAATGCTAAGCACTATACTGTAGTATCACACAGAGAAAGATTTTTAATACATTTTTTGGTTTGAGAGGATAATTTTGCCTTTCATACAGCAGATCACAACACAAACACAGCACATGTCAATGATGGGGCAAGAAAAGAAAAAGACTGAACAGCACCCTCCCTGTCACTGTCAAAGACCATCTATGAAAAGAAGGGTTATAATCGCGTTCACACTGTGCTCGTGTGGTAACCAGGGTCTGTGGTTTGTTGTTCTCTTCCATTAAAACTGAGTCGCTCAGCTTGTGCAGCTCACCTGCAAGGTTGAGAGACTGGACACCTGCAGTGCCTGCTGCAGTGCCTGGGTGAAAATATCATTGGTGATGGGCGTTCCTGCAGGCATTCCTGAAGAACCCATGACAGGTGAGGCCCCAGATGAGGCTCCCTGAAAAAATAAGAACGCATACATTAAAAAGTAAAGCAAACAGTATGAGTGCCCATGTCTAATCTATCTGTTTGGTGATCTAGGTTTCTATCAAACATACTGTCGATATTAAAACCAGTTTATGAAGGCTAGTTAGCAGCACACAGTTTTGATCAGGAAGTTGAAAGGGGTTGGGGGTGAGTCAAAATGTTTTAGAGAAGGTTTAAAGAATGTTAGTAGAAAGCATCCTTACTTTTGGTATCATGGTATGTATAGCCTATGAACAGTAAGTATTATATTGCAGATCAAAGGAAAGCTCAGCTTTTCATTGAAGACCACTCCCACCCTCTTCATTCCCAATTTCAGCTGGGACCTTCAGCGAGGCCGTTTAGAATGCCTTTGGCCAAGAAAAATGTCTACATTAAATCTTTTTTTCCCTCCCAAACAATCAGTATATAAACACAGCTAAGTGACCATTTCCTGTGTGAAGCTATCAGATTAATGCAATGATAGTGTAACATGGGCAGAGCAAGATGTGTGTGCGTATGTATTGTTGCATGGCTAGGACTATTGTTTCTTTTTAACGTGTATTTATGTTCAGTCTTGATTTTTTATGGAGATGTCAATGATAAATTTCCACTCCCTTGGATGGACAATTAATTTTTTTCTGATCTTTTTTTAGATCCTTTTCTAATTATTTACATATTTAATTTGTTTTTACTTTGATTTTTACATGGCTTATGCAAGGAACTGGAGGAAGCACCTGGTTGCCAGTGGTAGGAGTGACTGCACTGCTTTCCGGTGTACTGGCAAGGGCAAGGGCGGTAGCTAGTTCACTCTGAGTGATGGGCCGAGGGCCAACAGCACCACTGTAGCCGAGCGTGGCTGGCCGTGTGCCAGGGGTCCCTGTGCTGGTGGAAGGGGTGGCCCGGCTGCCCTGTGGGAGAAACGCAGCAGACTACAACATCAAAAGGAGAACAGCCATAGACTTCTGACAAAATACCATCAGCATGTGCAGATTTTCTTGGGCCAGTGATGCAATGCAATTTCTTAACAACACTACTGTAGAGTAGCACTATGTAGATTTACATTCAATTTAAGAAAAGGAGAAACCTTTACACAATATTTTAAAATAATAAATTTGTCTATTCCTCAGTTGCTTGGAGGACCAGGTGGTCTTCCATCTGGTCATTTCCTTCATAATTCTGGGCAGTAATTCATTAATGAGTGCTGCAGTGGCTCTGTGGCTAAGGATCTGTGCCTGTGGCTGGAAGGTTGCTGGTTCAAATCCTGCAGCTGGCAGAGGAATCCTACTCCGTTGGGCCCCTTAGCAAGGCCCTTAACCCCAACTGCTCGAGGGGCACCGTATAAATGGCTGACCCTGTGCTCTGACCCCAGGCTTCTCTCCCTGTCTGTATGTTTCATGGAGAGCAAGTTGGGGTATGCAAAAAGACAAATTCCTAATACAAGAAATTGTATATGGCCAATAAAGTGATCTTAATTGCTTCAACAAACTGCATAGTTTTGAGAATTGTGTAATACCCATCAACAGGCCAGAACTAAATGTTTGTTTCTGCAGTGGAGTCTGTGATATAGCTGCAATACTGAATTCCCAGGTCTTTTTGAGATAGTGTTGACTTTTAAATTAAACTGGATTTTATCTTACCGATTGGAAATCCTCTTCATCATCAGACAGGCCCTCAAAAAGAAATCCTCCTGCAGTGCAGATAAAAAAGTGCATGTATTGTATTAATCCTCTGGTGAAAGCTAGTAGATTAAGTATCAAGAGTTTGGGAAAGGTCTTCGCTTATCTACCCGACAGATTACCAGATTGTTAGTAGCACAACACAACCAATGGAGAAGAAAAAGCTGTCATTATAAGTGCAAATGCTCTTCGAAGCTTCCCATTTTCTATTGAAATGATAGTTTTGTCCTAATCCCAATAATATAATTGGTAATATTCACCACTGTATAAGACAGATCTGCAGTTTCACTAAAAATGTGTTGAAACAGAAACTAAAAAGAAATTCAAAACATCTGCATTGACTTAAAATAACCCTCCTTCTTCGGTGTTACCTCTACTGGATATACTGTAGATGTCAAGACCTCTTAGGACTCCCTGAAACATCTAGGACACAACAGTCTATAGTCACCTGGCATGTCGCTGTAGGAGCTTGCCGAGACATTGCGAGATGTGCTTGCACTCTGTGGTGAAGGGACACTTCCAGCCACTGAATGTAGGACCAGAATGATAGCATTGACTAGGGCTGGGTGCGAAGTGATCAGCCTAGGAAAGGACAAGCAGGAGTCTTAGAAATTCTGAGTTAAACACCTCTGGGTTCTACAGGTAATGGGAATATGTACAGTTATGTACGTTACTGTAATATGTATATTATATTTGCAGGTTTCTGGAAGAATGACTTTAATAACTAATTTGAAGGTAGTACTCAAAAAGAAAAGGTGCTGTAACAAATCAAACCTCACTGATTGATGTAATCCAAGACATAACACAATCCTGGGAATATGGCTGCACAGATTGAACAGCAACAACTGATAAATTAAAAAATAAGATGTCAGAGGTAATGAAGTAATGAAGTAGGAGGGCATGTGATCTTAAAATTGTATGAAAGGGGAACCATTGATGCACTGTGCTTTAAATGAAAGGGTTTAAAGGCTATGTGGGCATATACTAAGGATGAGAATACAGTGGAAGCTTTGTCAGAGGACTATCATTTAGTAGTTGGAATACAAACTATTTTCCTATGACTGAAGTTTGAGACAGAAGACAGTTTAGAATTGTGGGTCTTTGAGACAACATGGCTGAGTGTTCAGGGCTCTAGAATTGAGAGTTCGGCATCATGATCTACTGCTTGCATTGAGAGAACTGAAAGACAGTAGAGCTGTTAGGGTTAATGAATTAGGAAGTAGTGTAAAGCTACTTGAATTGTGTAGGTAAGAGGGTTACAGCTCAGAATTAAAATGGTATGTGAGCTACCGATTAAAGAGACACTGATAGCTTTTCCTAGTGTTTTAAGATGAACCTATGGTTTTAATAAACTGGGTGTTTTTTCGTTGCAGAAAATAGGTACAGAATATTCTGGAAGATGTTACTTACGTATCCAACATGTTAGGGTCAGTAAACAACACAAACAGATCTTTGTCTTGCAGCACACCTAGAAAAGCAGAATAAGAATACATTTTCACACTTCTGAAGTTCCAGGGTATGTCACAAAGCATCATCTCTAAGACAATACTGCAAATCTATACCCGTAATTTAATACTACTTTTATTGATATTGAATATCGAATATTGAAAGGTGAAAGGGTGTGCATACATTCCTCTGAATAATTCAGTATTGATGCTTCTGGTGATGTTTATCCAAAGGATATATAAATATAAATAGAGGTTTTCTTTATACATTGGGTTCAACTCTGCATATTGACATTTTCTGAAATACTTAAAAAGTAGTGAATAATTTAAAAATGATGAAGATGAGGACAGAATAAATATAAAATGCTCTAGAAGGGCCAATAGTCAAATTACCCAGCACAGACCATTAGTAGTCAACCTTTAAAACTAACAACTCCAAGCAAGCACGTATACAAAGACATGGATACTCAAAGGATGTTTCTACTTGCCCAGTGCCACCGGATCACTGCTCAGGCCTGGCGTGGCTACAATGATCTGGTCCAAGGACTCCCTGTTGTTTAACATCTTAAACACCTGCATAAGGGGAAAAACAATCAGCTTCCAAAAGGATGACACAATGGGCATATGTTTACATAGCTATTTGTGAGGCAGTGCATCAAGTCCATAGATGATCAAAAGAATGATTGGTAGTAATCATTAACATAAGGTAAACTAATTCTGTTAAAATATTAAGAAAGCCATTTTAGAACATCAATATCCAACACTGAGCAGATAGTTATTGGTGAAATCGTTAAGCCAGCCTTCACAGACCAGTCTTAAGACAAACTAAGCCTCAAGGATAAATATGACATAAAATAAACAGGGAGGAGACACATCCCAGAAGAGAGGGGAAGGAAGACTAGAAGTGATTAGGCCATTAGAACATTTGTCCTCCTTAAAACAGATTACGAAACTAGAATCTTCACAGTGCTGATCTCAGCACTTGAAGGGTACTATACTCTTAAATAATAATACTGAAAATATTGATATCCTTCATTGTGAATCCACAGCCTAAAGCACATCCCTCATTTGTTAGTGATGTGTTATTCTGAACAAGGAAATAAGATTCCCATTTCCTTAGCTTCCAATCTAAACAAAATGAGTCCTTCCAGAATCCTTATTTATTAGAATACAGGTTCTCTCTCTGCCCATTTTAAAGTGTTTTGACCTCATGTAGAAAACTGTCTATAGAAGGCAGAACTTGGATGACACACAGTAGTGAACATACCTGTATATAGCCAAAAAATGTATATTATATATTTGTTTAACTATCTTTATAAATATTTGTGTTGCCAAACTATGCCTGAGCAGCCAAAATCACACATTCTATGTACCACTGGTATTCCCTGGCTATAAGGAGTGTAAGTATGGTCATTGCGAAATACTTCGGAGTTATCTGAGGGACTTTGTGCTTTGCTTCAACACCTGAGAGAAACTTAAGGAAATATTATTTGTTGCCCCCTCTGAATCTGTTACTTCTGTTCAGAATCAAACAGAAGTGACAGATATAAAAGTCACTGAGCAGAACATCATTTCACAATGCAAGTAATGCAATGCTGGGGGGCTGTTTTCACTTTTCGTAAGTAAAGCATCTTTTGTCTTCCAAACACAACACCTCCTTTTTAAACTATGAAACATTTTGCTTGTTTGTTGAAACTTCTAGTATGAGGCAAAGTTTCTCAGTGCAGTCTCACCGAGTCTCTATAAGCAGTACTGGTATGTAGAGCTGCCTGAAGCACACGGAACTCCCTGGCAGCAGCTGTTCTGTCCACAGGCTCTGAAAAGGAATTGTACAGCACAATGGAAAACTCTGTGATGTCACAATATAAAGCCAGCCGTGAGACGGTTCGTAAATTCCATAGCCATTCATTTCTGAATTTTAAAAAAAGAAGGCTTCAGTTCAAAGAAGTCATTTAATTTCTGCTTGTAATTTTGTCATAAACTTCAGTGCCCTCTAAACTGGCTTAATTTATTTTGTTCCCCAGCAGGACTTCAATATTGTATTAGCATGAACATAAATCAAGATTTGATACTTTTTTCAAAAGACAGAACAGTGATTAAAAAGCCAAACAATGCTGTGCATAAGCAATTTCAAAGAAAGTACAGCAATTTCGCTCCACACTAAATTACTGAAACAGACACCACGTACTTAGCACTAAATGGTTCTGTGTAGAGAGAGTGGACTGGCTCATACACACCTGGCTTGACTTCTGGTTCTGGCCACGATTTCTTTAAAATGTGGACAGTTGATCCTGGCTGAATCCCATAAAATTCCAATGTCTGCTCATCTTTCAACTTTCTGCCACAAAATACCAGTTCTGAAATATAAACGCATACGTTTGAATTGGAGAGACAATCCTGTGTTCTAGCTGATTTCCAAACGTTGCACCAACACGCTGTAAAAATAATGTACTTTATAATCCCCTGCCTCTTGATTGATAGAAGGTTATATCAAAAAGTGTGCAACGTCAACTTGGGCTACCAGAATCCAGCGGGTTTTCTATGACTATATATCATCAATAGCTGATGGCTTTTGAAAAATGTTATCCCGCCCCCACCAAACGGAGTTATGTACCACTGAATTAATGTGAAAGGAACATCTCTTGAAAGCCAGTTTTTACTGACCTATAAACTCCGGATCAGGTACTAAATCTGGCAAATGGGCTGCTACCAGCTGCTTCAGTGTGGCGATACGATATCCTCCCGGTGCCACATCTCCCGGTTCCGTTTCGGGAAACTGCAGAACCGACTTGGGGACCGAGGGCTGGTCCATCAGTTTCAGTGAAATGCGCCACTCTGGAACTGCCATAGTCATCTGAAGGAGGCAAAAATATAAACAGCATACATTGAGTAGAGTAATAAAGAAAAATTATGCATATTACATGTTTTAAACTCAACTGGATCAGATTTATCGATTAATAACACTGGTTGTTTTTAACATTCGAGATTACGACTGAACATAAAAAGACTATTATACCGTATCTGACTATGTAACTAGCTATGACTTAAAAACTGAATTTCATGAATTCAGAAAAGTTTTTTTTAAAATAGAAGTATAATGTTAAATGAACACATAATTAAAAAATAACAAAAAAAGAGAAAGAGCGATGTTTACACTTATGCTCTGTCACCTGGAAACGGAAAAAGTTCTCGATGATTTCTGGGATTTGTAGTTTTTTCCCTCTGCACACGCCACTCTGTTATTTATAGAATTAAGAGGAAAAACTCTGCTGCTAATAGAGGTGCTAGTGATTTTGACTGAACAGTGCCTTCGACTTCACATTTTGATCAAATGTAAGCATATGGATCAAAAGAACTCCACTTGCATCCAAACAAAAACGGTATTAAAAACGCTAAATGTTTTACCAATTTCTACCATAAATTTATAACGTCTTCCTGAAAGACTGGTTAGACTTTATTCAATATATAATATTAATAACGTAGTGATACAATATTCGATATACTACATAGTTTGTCATTTTAAATGTCTGCTAGGTAATGTTTTTGAAATAAAAACCACATACCAAAACTGCGGAATTCCTTTAACTTAATTTTTACCAATACACCGCTCAGACCTGACTAAGAAATTGATAAATTAACGTAAAATGTCCGAATTCATTAGTTCGTATTCTAGTGTAATTTTTGGGGGAACTCCATTACCCAGAGACCTTTGCTGTCTCTTGGGCGGAGAAAAGGAGAAATGGCTCTGTATAGAAGAGGAGGTGGAAGGTGTTGCGCTGTGTCAGGGTGCACTAATAACCAGAGGAAACTCAGCATCTGGCGGCGGGACATTTGTGAGCTCCATTCCCCTTTGCAACACAATGCGTGCTCGTGTCTTGAGCCTTTCTCTTTTTATTATTTCCCCCGTGATAAGGAGAAGCAGCAGGCATGGTTGGAAGCAATCGGCAGAAAAGACTTTCTGCCAGGCAAGGGGACAGTCGTTTGCTCGATGCACTTTGTAAAGGGCTCGCCAACCGCCGAGCATCCAGTGCCAGTGCTAAACATGGGGTCCTCCGAAAACGAAGACCTGACGGAAAGCAAGAGTGGTGGGGATGAGAGACCGGCTAGGAAAAGAGTTTACAAGGCACTGCTGGAGGACACGGGCGGCGGCCCCCCCACGGGGTCTGCAAAGAAACTTGAAATAGACGGGCGATACCCCCAAGGCTCCTGGGAGCAGGCCACTGTTGAAGCCATCATGCAGTTACGCAACTTCGATAGCCCCAGCAGCTCCCTTGTGGCGCAGACGACCATCGCGAACCTGAAGGATGAAAACGATTTCCTCCGTGCTCAAAACAGCAGTCTTAAGGCGGAGCTGAAGTCAACCCAAGAGGGACTGGAGGCGGAAGTGAGAGCAGTCAAGGAGGAGCTGGAGACGGTTAAAGGGGCTTGCCGGTGCAGGGTTGAATCCAGGACAGCGAAGCCCGCTACGGCGGAAGCTGTGCCGGAGCTAGAAGGTGTAACTGTAACTGTAACTAAAGACGAGTTGGATGGTATCGCTGTCTCAAACGAGGAGGAGGTCCCTGCTAGAGGAGATACTGCTGCGTGCATCCCTCTTGAAATTGGCACTGTAATCCTAACTCGGACACTCTAAAATTCTGCTTTGTTTTATTGTGTAATTATTTGTTACGGATTTTTATTTTGCAGTCGGACGGAGCATCTAGACAACCGTAGCAGTATACTATATACTGAGTTTCTGGAGTTCTCAACTGTATTTCCTCTATGTCTTAATGCCATATTTACAGAAGGTTCCCCAATTAACTTTTGGTTTAGGAAGAGGTATGTTAGACACTGGAAATGTGTACGGATCACGGAGAAATCTGCCACGGTGTCTTTAAGGATTTTTCATCGTGTGTGTGTGTGTTTTTTTTCCAGGACTTAAAATGGTATGAATCATACCTCAGTGATATATTTGTGGATATGATTACCATAATCACCTTTGTTTTACAGTTACGATCTATTTATTTTAAGCTTCTCTGCCAAGGAGAAGTCTTTAATTTTTTTTTGTTTTGGTAAACATAACAGATTTGGGAGAAAAAAAAGTTTCTTGATATTTTAAAAGAACAAGCAGTTTATTGTTTTCTTTTAACACCGTGTCAAAAATAATTTTCGTGTAAAAATAAAGGCCTTTTTTTGTCCTCACAGATCTCTGTTCTAGTCTTTGTGATTGTAGGATAGGCTGTTGTCAAAGCCTACGTACTGCAGAGCTGAATATGGGAAAGGAAGCAGAGATAACTCCTAAGTGGTGTGGCCTTTTTACAATGGATGGGTTTGCATCACATTCTTACAGCTTCCAAAGAGGAAAACATTCCCAAAAAACATTTACTTGGTGTGATATTGTACACAGTATTTGCAAAACATTTACAAAGTGCTACATGCTGAAATGTTTTACAATAACCATGTTATTGTTGGAATAAAGGTGTTTTTTATTGGAAAAAATGCATCTTTTAGTCCCATAGGTTTATACCTCTCAATCCGCACACGAGGAAAAGTAGAGCATTATGCAACAGGCTTCTGTTTAAAGGGGAACAGTTACAGTAACTACTGTATTTAAAGAGTTATGAAGCTCTATGTGAATGGTTATGAAGCTATGATTTGCTGTATAATGTATGCATGTAAAAAATAGAAAATGGTTATCATCTTTCTAAGAGTATTGTTTATTCAAGTTTGGTAATGACAAATAAGTCTTCTAATTAAAACTAGTGGCTGGTTAAAAGAACATAAGAAATGTTACTTTCGGAAGAATGGCATCTCCAGTTTGCATCTGCCCCAAGGTTAGAGCTTTGGTAGTAGCTTTTGATCTAAGGATCTCATCTGTCTGTGTCGGGAAAGATGCCAGTGTCTCAGCTTCAGGCCCAGGGCTGGGGTAGATTTTTAAATACCCCTCACAGCCTGGGTACAGTGCTTCCTGTTCTAATTTCTAAATGCACTTCTACATAGGCCAGCAGCCATATCACCCTGCAACTCACAACTGGAAACCCACTGAAGCT